TAAACTTAAAAATTTAGTTCTTCAGTCACACTAGCCATACTTTAAGTGCTCAAGAGCTATACATGGTCAGTGGCTACTACTTTGGACAGTTTAAATATACTAATTTCCATCCTTGCTGAAAGTGCTATTGAACAGAGCTGACTTAGAAGACCCTTGAGGTATGCTGTTTCTGATGCAAGTGAGGGGTCTAAACTGAAGCAATGGCAATGAGGTGGAAAGGAAGGGTCTCTGAGATACTTAATGTGATGAAAAGCAATGTGGGGTGGGAGTGAGGAATGCAATTACATCCAGGTTTCTCCCTAGGGTAAGTGGGTAGATTACAGAACCATTTACCAACATAGTAAATGTCAAAGGAACAGGACTTAGAAAAGGGTACCAAATCAGATTTGGACCCACTGAGAGAAACAACACTGAAGACAGGCCCACTATGTTGAAAAGGATGCTGGGTCTCACAATGTGGTATGCTGGGAATCTGAGAAGACAGAGCTTCAAGGAAGGAGCAGTGGCCATGGATAGGAGTTAGAGCCATGTACTTGGGTAAGGGCATCCAGGGAATGTAGGCAGCGTGACACAGTCAGAAACTGACTTCAGGGTCTGGAGCACACTGGCATTTAGGACACAGTTTTCAAATTGTGGGTGGGTCATGAATTTAACAAAAGTGGTCTCTATCAGCATTAAAAAGTAGTATAAGAATATTAATGTACTTTGTATACAATTTGAGTAAAGGTCTTTTCCTGAAACTCTTTAATGAATATATTTACATACGTGTGTGTGTGTGTGTATACATACACATGCAGTAGGTTGCAAGGTAAAACATACATCTGGGTTGCATTACAATGAGTTTGAATGTCATTAGTTTAAAAAATGAGCATCACAGGCTGGGTGAGGTGGCTCATGCCTGTAATCCTAGCACTCTTGAGAGGACAAGGCAGGTGGACTGCTTGAGCTCATGGGTTCAAGACCAGCCTGAGCAAAAAGCAAGACCTGGTCTCTACTAAAAATAGAAAAACTGAGGCAAGAGGACGACATGAGCCCAAGAGTTGGAAGTTGTTGTGAGCTATGATGCCACAGCACTCTACCCAGGGCAACAGCTTGAGACTCTGTCTCAAAATAAATAAATAAATAAGCAAGCATCATAGATTATAAGCTACATGGGAACTGGGATACTATCCTTTTCCTCATCATCACTCAAAATTCTGGCACATAATAGATATTCAGTGAAGTTATATTACATACAGGAATAGATCAACAGGCCAGAGAAAAAATAGGAATCCCAGAATGGTGACTCAGAAGTAAGAAAGACGAGAGAAATAACACAGTGCCAGATCTTGGTGACTTAGCAATATTGACAGTACAGACGACTTTATGACCTGTAACATCTATGGATTGGTTACAGCAGAAGCCAGACTGCAGAGGTAAGTGGTAAGGGAGGAAGTAGATGTAAGGTGAATGGCAGTGAAGATGAACAGGCATTTGCTTATTTTGTATTGGAGACATGAAAGTTCGACATGTACCCAGAAAGATCAAACAGGAAAGATGGGCTATAGAAATGTGCAAATAATGGAACTACTAACCACATATAGCTGTTAAAATTAAAATTAGTTCCTTAATCACATGAGCTCAATGGCTATATGGGGCCAGAGACTACCACGCCACACAGAGCTGATACAGACCATTTCCTTCATTGCACAGTGGTACTCCAGAAAAAGTGTTAGTTCATCCTTTTTATGCTGGCTCCACTAAAACAAATCAAAGTTAAATCAATGTACAGCACACCTCAACCTCTTTCTCCCTGAAACATTATCCAAGCCCAGCAGAAAAACTATTGGGGGACTACATTAATATTAGTATCTACACATGACAGAATCACACTTAGTCTCTGTGGGTGAGAGTTAGCCTTGGGAGAGGACAGTAGAGACCCTAAAGAGGCAGCTGAATCTCAGGACGTGATCTAAGGGTCTGGGCTTTATATGTACATATTCATGATGTTTTCCCATCAAATCCAACAAAGGTCTGTGACAAATAGAAGCAGATTGTGATTGTGAAGGATTGCACAGAAAAAAGGATTTAGTAAGAAGAAAAAAGAAATAAGGTGACTGGTAGAGAACAAATAAATCATGTTTATCACTTCTGTATTTAATTTTCATGATCTATGTGTGGCACTTTAGTAACAAAAAGGAATGTAGTTTAAGACTGAGGCATTATTATCCATCAGAAATGTCCACTTAAGACACTGGTATTTAGTGTCTCACTAACTTAACTAAAATGAGAAAAGTCACTTCTGGAATTCTAAAAATAAGACTTCTAGTTATATGGAAAAAAACTTTTGTCTTTTTTTTTTGCAGTTTTTGGCTGGGGCCAGGTTTGAACCCACCACCTCCAGTATATGGGGCCAGCGCCTTACGCCTTGAGCCACAGGCACCGCCCAAAACTTTTGTCTTTTAAATTACCTCTTTTAAAGGCTATCTTTGGCCCCCCTCAAAAAAAAACATTTTTTTTTTTTTGAGACTTTGTCCCCCATGGTAGAATGCAGTGACGCTACAGCTCACAGCAACCTCCAACTCCTGGGCTTAGGCGATTCTCTTGCCTCAGCCTCCCGAGTAGCTGTGACTACAGGAGCCCACCACAATGCCCGCTATTTTTTTGTTGCAGTTTGGCTGGGGCCAGGCTTGAACTGCCACTCTTGGTATATGGGGCCGGCATCCTACCCACTGAGCCACAGGTGCCACCTGACCCTCCTCAATTTTTTTATACATAGAGTCACACTCTTATCATCCAGGTTGGAAAGCCCAGTAGCATAATCATAGCACACTGCAACCTCAAATCCTAGACTCAAGCAATCCTCCTGCCTCAGCCTCTTGAGTAGCTAGGACTACAGATGTGTGCCACCATGCCTGGATAATATTTTAAATTTTTTGTGGATACATGGTCTCACTGTATCACCCAGGGTGCCTTCAAACTCCTGGGCACAAGTGATTCTCCCACCCCAATCTCACAAGTAGCTGAGAATACAGGTGTGCACCACCGAACTCAGGTAATTTTTTTATTTTTTGTAGAGACAGGGTTGTGCAGGATGGTCTTGAATTCTTGGCTTCAAGCAATCCTCCTGCATTGGGCTCCCAAAGTGCTGAGATTATAAGCATTAGCCACCCTGCCCTGTCTCAATTTTTTTTTAATGGCTTATTCATCCATGAGGGGAGGGGAAAGGACTAAGAACTGCCACTCTTGGCACATCCAAACCTCTGCACTAAGAGACAACCCAATCCTAGCACCGCGTCTAGCAGCACATGGTCGCTTCCCTAAGATGACCACATGCATCCTCTCACCCCCATTAAAATGCCTACCTGAGAAAGCTCAATCCTTTCTCTTAGTAGAATGTAGTTTCGTCTAGCCTGAAGATAGGTTCCTGACCCGTTTCTTAAGAGCATTTACTAATGGCTTACACTTACGAAATCTTCAACCTTTCAAGATGTATTTGGGCCTTTACTCCCCAGATGCAGTGGGAGAATAGCACTTTATCTCAGATAACCGCCAGTTTGCAGACATACCTGGTCCAATCCCATTTACTCTGATCAACCCTCTGTAATTGTTCATTTTTTTGACTCTGCTGAACCCCGTTCATCTTCTCTCCCTTGTTCTTTTAAAACGCCCAATCACCTCTACACCTCTTTACCGTTTTAATCAAATTCTCACTGTTTATCTTCCACAGGACCCAAAGGGAAGAGGGAGAATTCATTCCACTTGCCTTCTCCAGCCCCAGGGAAAAACCCAGTGGGCTCAGAGGAAGTTAGGCCTTTTTTTTTTTTTTTTTTTTTTGGTGAGGGGGAGGGGACAGTCTCAGTCACCCTCGGTAGTGCCGTGGCGTCATAGCTCACAGCAACCTCAAACTCCTGGGCTAAAGCAATCCTCTAGCCTCAGCCTCCCAAGTAGCTGGGACTACAGGCGCCCGCCAAAACGCCCGGCTATTTTTTACCGACGGGGTCTCGCTCTTGCTCAGGCTGGTCTCAGACTCATGAGCTCAGTTAATCCACCCGCCTCGGCCTCCCAGAGTGCTGGGATCACAGTCGTGAGCCACTGAGCCGGCTAAATTTGGCCTTTTGTAAACACAACACATTCAAGCCCTTCCTTGCAGGCCTAGGCTCCCGACTAGCCAGCGACACTGAGCGGTGACAACCAAGTCGCTCACGCACTGATATGCAAGCCCAGGTAACAAACTCCTCCTCATGAGCATTCAACCAGCGAGTGCACGAATGTTGGAGTTAACGCTAACTGAACTGCTGATCAGCTTTTACAGTGTAACAGCTAGCCCCACCGAAACGACGTCCAGACAACAGGTCCTGGCTTAGGAGCGGCAGGGCCGGGGCCACAGCGGCCTCGGGCTCCAAGAGAGGTTTTACCCATTCGTCTGCCGTCCGCTTAGATGCCGTTATTAAGAATCCAGCTAACTTCAGCCGTGCGAGAAAAGCCGTTTATGGAAACCTCTACCTCGCCTCACGAGTACAGTCAGCTAAAGCCCCGACGGGAGCTGCAGACTTCGCAGCCGGAAGTGCACCAAGTTACCGGTCACTTCCGGCATTATGCCCGCCTTCGTAAGCGAGGACGGAAGTGCCTTCCTCGCAGCCGGAGTTGCAGCTCCGTAACGCAAGATGGCAACTCTCTCTCTGAGGCGATTATCTGATCTCCGTTTTATTTCAACCGTCGTTCTACTCACTAGGGAATCTCTGTTTTCATCTCCTTTTCATTGCGTGGTTTCTGTTTACCACCATACCCTCATGTTTGTCTATGATTCATCCTTGGCAGAGGATAGACTGGAGGCACAGAACAGGGAGCCTGAGCGCCGAGGGAGTGGGCTGCCACGTTGTACGGATTCTGCGGGCAGGGCGGAGCGGCAAATCCCCGTTGGGCGGCAGACAAGGGCCCGCGAGAGGTACGTGTTGTTATCCTGTTAGCTAATTCCGCTTCCGCTCGGCTGGGTCGGTTTTGGTTGGGCCGGCTTGTTGCAGAGAGGGAGGGGGAAGATTGTTTGCAGCCTAGGAGCTCCGCGCCCGCGAAGGGAGACTGAGGTAAGGCTGTGAAGCCCCTTTTTGCCGAGCTCTGTGGAGTGGCTGGGGCAAGAGGCCTTGGGGGTGCAGAAGAGTGTGGGGCTGGAAGTGGGAGGCTTAGTCCGCAGGGCTGGAGAGACAGGAGAGGTGGGGCGGGGCTGGGGGTTGCAAGGTGAATTGTGGAGCCGGGCGGAGATGGGTGGGACGGGCCGGGTCTCGGGGATGGCGGGAAGGCACGAAGAGCTGAGGGAATACGGAAAGCGCTGGACTGGGAGCAGCTGGGGCGAAAGGAGCTGGGACGGGGCACGGTGTAGAATCTAAAGTCCTTGAGGGCTGAGGAAAGAAGTTAAGGCGGAGATTGGTTCGAATACAGGGCTGGGGAATTGAGAGTGGAATCCTTGGGAGGCTGAAAGATTGGAAGTGGCTGGTGGCAGAGATTCTGATACTGGCATGACACGTATTTGGCCTTTGTTTCCTCTACAGCTTCCAGAAAGACACTGCCTCGCAGCCTCTGCTCGGGCCCAGCTTTTTCTCCCCAGCTGCTACCACATCCCTCCTGAATGGTGCTCCTCTTTACCCGCTTTGGCCCCGAATCCAGGCCTCCTTTGCCCTCTGCCTCGGAGCTCTTGCTCCTGGTCTCCCAGTGGATTCCTCGTGGTGGGCAGGGAAGAACTTTGGCACAGACAAATCTTTAGCTCTAGGAAGCCCACTGACAACTTTCTCCACCTCTGACTGCGGTGCAATTCTCCCTGTACCCCATTTTTCTGCGTTTTGAGAAGAGAAACCCTTCTTGGCATCCAGAGTGAGCCCCAGAAGCCCCCAAGCTGGGGCCCTGGTCCCAGCATGTCAGTCCTCTCTTGTGCATAGGGCTCTGCCCGCTCCCTGTCAACATGGCTGAGCTCAGGCAGGTTGCAGGGGGCCGGGAGACCCCGCAGGGAGAGCTTCGGCCTGTGGTTGTAGAGGATGAAGTTCTTAGGAGCCCAGTCGCAGAGGAGCCTGGAGGAGGTGGAAGCAGCAACAGTGAGGCCAAGTTGTCTCCAAGAGAAGAGGAAGAACTGGATCCTAGAATACAGGTGAGAAGACTGAGTGGGGTCGGAGAAGGGGGAACCCCACATTCCTGCCTTCTTGAAGAGTGATGGATCAATGAGGACTTAAAACTGTTCTTTCCCCAGCGTACTGGGATAGGAAAGAACAAGTTTGTCAACAGATCTCTGCAGTATAATTTGATAAATGCCAGGAGAGTTGTGTGTCTGAAGTGCTGATGGAGTGCAGAGAAAGACCTGGCTGGAGTAAATGGTACATGTTGCTGGGAACCAAAGTGAAGTGCCACATTGACAGCAGGTGCAGGAGGCACTGTCCAGGCCAATGTGGAGCCAGGTCAGTGTGGGGCAAATGTGCTCCTTTCCCAGTAGGCAGAGTGACCCTCAGCTGTGTGAGTGGGAAGTCAGAGGAGGTGACTTTGAAACTGGGAGGCAGTTTTTGAGTCTGAGTAAAGGAATCTTGCCCTCTTTCTCATCTTTTGAGCAGTGCTTTCCATGGATGTTTACTGCTGAGAGCAGTGTGATGTTCAGGCCTTAGAAGTGTGACAGCATCTTTAGGCCTATAAAGAAGTCCCCTCTGTTCAAGGATTTGTGTTAGTTGTGGTCAGTTATTAGTAATATACATCCCTTGCTCGCAAGATGGTGGAGCCACCAAAAAAGGTGGAAGAGTGGTTTATTACCTTGGTGTGTTGGCAGGACAGGCAGATCTTTGTGTAGGAGACTCTGGGGCAGTGGGTAAAGAAGACCATCAATGTGTGGAAGAGGTGCCTGGGTGGTGAGAACCAGGTCAGAGTGTTTCAGGGCCTCAGCCAAGAAGGGCTTCCTGGGTAAGCTGCTTGGGTAGGTGATGACCAGGATGCTCCAGAGTATTTAGGGTGTGAGTCTGCCATTTGGTCTGGTCACATCTCTTAAGACTGATGTGGATGTGACTCACCACACCTCTGTAAATGACCAAGGGCAGCCCAGGGCTCTCATTCCTAGGCTTCTCTGATAACAAACCTTTGCTGGATTACCCCAGCCAGTGGGGGAAGAAATCAAAGCTAGTCCATGCATCGTTTCCTGTCTCTCTGTGTGTGGGTGCCCAGGATATGTGCGTGTGGGCTCCTCTTCGACCGTGTCCATGCTTGTAATGGAGCAGCAGTGAGCTGTTTCATCTCTGGCATGAGTCAGTAGTTTATTTCTGCTGTGCCTCATAGGCATTGCATTGAAAACAGCCAATTCTTTCTGCTAATTCTACAGATTTGTTGTTCACTGAGAAAATAAGTTGTATTAATAACAACAACAACAACAAAAAAAAGCTTTGGGTTGAGAGGCAAATAACCTCCAGCCTCATGGTGTTTGATTGTTATTATGAAAGTTACTTACCTTCTCTGAGCCTCAGTTTCTTCATCTGTACAGTAAGTAGTGAGTAGTTGGTCTAAATGGTTTGCGTGGCTCTCACTCTGCTCTGACACCTATCTATAATTCTTTTTTTTTTGCAGTTTTGGCCAGGTCTGGGTTTGAACCACCACCTCCGGCTTATGGGGCTGGCACCCTACTCCTTTAAGCCCCAGGCACCACCCCATCCATAATTCTTTCACAAACTCCTTTGCTTATTCTCTTGGTAAAAGTTTATAGGTAGCACTTTGGGGAAGAGTTCCCTTTCTGTCACTTGGGAAGGAGGGCTGTGTAGCTTGCTGGTACACCTTCCTGCCGAATGTCTTGCCCTGCTCCAGCTGAGATGTCTTGGCAGCCTTTCCTGCTTCTTTGTGTTTTCCACCCTCCACAGAGGCAAAGACAGTGATATGAACCCTCACTCTTGGACTGTGCTATCTAATAAGGTAGCTGCTTTTCTTGTGTGTCTACTTAAATACAATTAATTAAAATTAAAAATGCAGTTCCCCCAGTGCCATACTGACAGTGCAGAAATGTAACATTTTTGTTATCACAGACAGTTCTTTTAGACAAGCTCTGTGAGGGTCAGAGTATTCTGTGGAAGCATATGATTTACTTTGCCTCCAGTGAACTTGATGCAAGAAACGCTAGTCTCTCTTGCTGAACAGTGTTGTGCATGTGGAATGTTGTGGGTTGCCTAGGGAGGAAAGGTCCCTGGTGACCTCCCTCAGTTGATGACAATGGCATGGTGTGGCTGGGTGAGTGCTGGGTGAGTGCTCCAGTCTTGCCATGTAGGAAGGGCAGCCTGGTGGGAGGGGCATGCTTTACAGAGGCCAGTGGAATTTGGCTCTTTTGTGTTTGGGCTCCTTTCTCAGATGAAGAGGAGATTGGGGTATGTCTTCTGAGGTCTCTCTTAATATTGACAACGTGTCAGACCACAATGCCCAATGGTACGTTTCAGTGCTTTAAATGGGATTCATCTCTCTGGATTCTCAGTGTAGTTACTCGGTCTCTGCCCATAGATCTGTCAAAATCAGCCAGAGGCAGAGGCTCATGCCTATAATCCCAGCACTCTGGGAGGCCAAGGCAGGAGGATTGCTTGAGGTCAGGAGTTTGAGACCAGCCTGAGCAAGAGTGAGACCCCATCTCTACTAAACATAGATAAATTAGCTGGGCATGGTGGTGGGTACTACTTGGGAGGCCAAGGTAGGAGCATCCCTTATGGTCTCAAGTTTTAGGTTCCTGTGAGCTATGATGACACCACTGCACTCTAGGCAAGGGTCACAGAGTAAAACTGTCTCAAAAACAAAAACTAATAGGAACCTTTAAAAACACCTTTTCCTGAGCCTCACCAGACATGTGGATTCTATGTCTGGGTGAGGTGAGAAAGGATTCTGATGTACAGCCAAAGCTGAGTCCACCAGGCCAGGCAAGCTCCCTGCAATGGCTGTCCTGAGAGTGAGAGGCTCTTTGCTGTGGCATGCCCACTATCTGGCAGGACCCTTATGAAAATTGAAAGGAGGCCAGCTGACACATACTTGGAGTGTGCTGTCCCCTTAGAGATGGCCACTGGCTGTATATCCATGTCATGACCTAGGTGGAGTTCTCCAGATCCTCCACGCTGATCCTCAGCTTTCTCCCCTCCCTTCCCCACTTTCTAAAAAAATTAGGCAGTGCCTAGCTCAGTGGGTAGGGCATTGCCCACATACACCGTGGCTGGCGGGTTCAAATCCAGCCTGGGCCAGCTAAAATCAACAATTACAACCGCAACAAAAAAATAGCTGAGTATTAGGGTGGGCGCCTGTAGTCCCAGATGCTTGGGAGCCTGAAGCAAGAGAATCACTTAAGCCCAAGAGTTTGAGATTGCTGTGAGCTGTGACACCGTGGCACTCTACCAAGGGCAACATAGTGAGACTCTGTCTCAGAAAAAAAAAGGATAAATGAAAAACGAACTGTTGATGGTGCTTATAGCTCAGTGGGTAGGGCGCTGGCCACATAACACCAAGGCTGGTGGGTTCAGACCTGGCCTGGGCCAACTAAACAATGATGATGACAACTGCAACCAAAAAAGTAGCTGGGCATTGTGGCAGGCCCCTGTAGTCCCAGCTACTGGAGAGGCTGAGGCAAGAGAATAGCTTAAGCCCAAGAGTTTGAGGTTGCTATGAACTGAGATGCCACAGCATTCTACCAAGGGCAACATAGTGAGACTTTATCTCAAAAAAAAAATAATAATAAATAAGTAATTGTTTGGAGACAGGTTCTCTCTCTGTCACTCAGACTGGAGTGCAGTGGCACAAACATCACTCACTACAGCCTTAGACTCCCCAGTAGCTGACACTACAGGCATTGCCACTACTCTGGGTTAATTTGATGTTTTACAGACAGGTTTTACAGACAGGGTCTTACTGTGTTGCCCAGGCTGGTCTTAAACTCCTGGACTCAAGTGGTGCTCCCATCTTGCTCTTCCACAGTGCTGGGATTATAGGCATTAGTCCCGTCCCTGCCCTCTGCAGGCTTGGTCCTCAGCTTTCTGAGAGGGACTCCTGGTGGAGAGGAGGAGGGACAAGGACAAGGAGGGTAGTGCTGGCTGGGCCTGCTTCTGCTCCATGACTCTTTCTGGACCTCCTCTGTGAAAGGCATTTTCTTTCCTTGGTGTGTGGATACAGTCACCTACTTCTCTCCAGACTCTTCAGGGTAACTCTGTGTCCCCATCTGAAAGTGTGGGTTTAGCTTCCCATAGGACTGTCATCAACCTGGCCCCACATACTAACTATCAGAGTCTTTAGATAGTTTGTGGGAGGCAGGGTTAGAGCCTTGGTAGCCTGAGTGCCTGCTTATGTCTTTGACTTGGTGTCCTGACATCTTGGGAATGTGTCTGGTATGCTCCAGGAAGGTCACCCTCCCTGCTGGCTGCTGGTTCACTGATGGATGATATGTGCTGACTCAGGCTTTGTCCTGCCTAAACTCTACTTCAGGTGAGTGCCAGGAGTCCCTGGTGGAGCAAGCCAAATGGAATGTCACTGGCTGCCTAAAACAGTCCCCTGGGTCCTCCAGGGTAAGTGGCTTCCTGCTCATCCTTTCTGGGTATGCCCCAGCCTAGCTGTCTCCTCCACCTCCCATGTTTACCCTGCCTTCTGGGCTGTTCTGCTTCCCAGTCACCTTTTTGTCCTGTTAGAGCATTTTGACTCCAAGAAGCAGACATATCAGGAAATGGGGTTTTGATTGCTGGAGGTGCAATTGGGGTGTGGGTTTCCATTGAGAAAGGTAACACCTTCTCCCACCCCTTGCCAATAGCAAGAGCCCTTCTCCTGTACTTTCCAGTAGGGACAAAATAGTAAGCCATTCAGTCCTTTGGTCATCTTGTTGGAGCTGGAGATAGGAGTACTCTAGGCCATGGAACTCAGCAGGGATCCTAGGCAGGGATCCAGAATTAGAGGGTAGCTTTTACCCAACTCTCTTCTTCTCCCCTGGAATGAATGCTCACAGCATTCCAGAGACCCATCCTCTGCTTACCTGTGCTGCGGTTTTCCTGGTCCCATACTCCTTTCTTTTCTGAGATGTCCTTCCAGTGATGTCCTCGGTCCCAGGAGGGTGGTCACAGTGGCAGGAAAGTGAAATCAAAAGTCAAGTCCTAGGCTTTGCACAGTGGTTCATGCCTGTATTCCTAGTACTCTGGGAGGCCGAGACAGGTGCATTGCTTGAGCCCAGTAGTTCAAGACGAGCCTGAGCAAGGGCAAGAGTGAGACCCCATCTCTAAAAAACATAGAAAACTTAGCTGGCGTTGTGGCAGGTGCCAGTAGTCCCCGCTACTTGGAAGTCTAAGGCAGGAGGATCGCTCAAACCCAGGAGTTTGAGGTTAACTGTAAGTTATGACGGCAGAGTGAGACTCTGTCTCAAAAAATAAAACAAAAGTCAGGTCCTGGACCCAGACTCTACTCTGTGACAATTTCCTGCCTCATTGTTTCCTCTCTGTTGTAGGCGAAGGAGATACTACTCCCTAGCAGGAGCTGTGAAAGAACTGGTCACCTTGTCTCTCAGAGAGCCTGAAGCTCTCTGTGGGTCAGGTTGTGCCACAGGAAGCTGGGCGTGCAGGGAGAGAGGTGGTCTGTCACCCTGACAGGAATTTGCTTTTGGGGAAGCCCTTTAGGGTGATCCCAGCACAGCAGCTGATAGTGTCACCCCTTTAAAGGAGGCTCTGTAGAACTTGGTTCTGTGTTGCTGGCAGCATGACACTGCCTGTGGTTCCAGAGTGGAGATTATTATTCTATGAACAGTGGGCTATGTGGCTAGTAAGATCCCCATGTACACTACCTTCTAGACCAGGGGTCCTCAAACTTTTTAAATAGAGGGCCAGTTCACTGTCCCTCAGACCGTTAGTAGGCCAGACTATGGGCCCGGTACAAATCAGCTGCTAAGCAGGACAGGCAGCGGTGGCAAAAACACCCAGTGAGCCGAATAAATGTCCTAGGCGGGCTGCATGTGGCCCATGGGCTGTAGTTTGAGGATGCCTGTATAGACTTTAAAAGTCTGGTTAATATTATTATGTTTTTACATGTTGAAACAATAATGTTTTGGATAGATTGGTTTAAATGAAACGTATTATCACTTCATGCTTTGCTTTTTAAAAATGTGGCCACTAGAAAATTAAAAACTCCATGTGTGGCTCAGGCAATACTTCATAGCAATTGGACCACAAGAAAGTTCAAGCTACATGTGCAGCCCTCCTGAGGCAAGGCCCTGCTGCTATAGGTGTGCACATTTCTCCCTTTTGTAGTAATTAACACTTCTGACTGGTTTCCTGTATTCTGTTGATTTTTTTTTTTTTTTTTTAGAGACAGAGTCTCACTTTGTCGCCCTCGGTAGAGTGCCATGGAGTCACAGCTCACAGTAACCTCCAGCTCTTGGGCTTAGGCTATTCTCTTGCCTCAGCCTCCCGAGTGGCTGGGACTGCAGGTGCCTGCCACAACACCCAGCCATTTTGTTGTTGTTGTTGTTGTTGCAGTTTGGCTGGGACCAGGTTTGAATCCGCCACCCTCGGTATATGGGGCTGGTGCCCTATTCACTGAGCCACAGGTGCCGCCCCGGTTTTCTGTATTCCTACTTGCTGACTGAAACATTTTCAGGATCAAGGGAGGGAGTGGGGATAAAGTAGAAGTAAAAAGACTCAAAGGGAGATAGTTCATGTCAGCCTGAGCCCTTCTTCAGGTTGTTGGAAGGCCCAAGCAAGGTGAGCAGGAGCTGAGGCCATAGCCTTAGGCATGGGGAGTGACACTGGCATGTTGGCAGCAGGTCAGTGCCAGGGTGGATCTCCCTGGGTCTCCCAGAGACCTACAGCTGGGCAATAGGTACCTCCTTGGGGCAGAGCTGTGGTGCTCCTGGCCACCTTCCTCAGCTTACAGGGGTTCCAGGAAGATGTGTGTTTTCTCTGGCAGGAAAGGATGGCTTGAGGCCAGCTCCTTGCCTGGTGCTCTGCCACTTCACTAAAAGCCCTGGGATGATTCCATTGCTTCTTTCTCCAGCCCAGGGCCCAGAGAGGTACTCAGACCAGCACATCTGGTGGCTTCTTCCCAAGACTCTCCCTCTCCCTCCCAACCAACTGTGGGGATCTGGGGTCACCATCATCAATTGCCCAAGCAGGCCAAGAGGCTTCTCAGGCCCTGCACTCCTCCCTAACTTTGACCTTAATTATCCACCCAGCCCTTATTTTTCTTTCTTTCTTTCTTTCTTTTTTTTTTTTTTTGAGATAAAATCTCATTCTGTCACCCTCGGTAGAGTGCCGTGTCATCACAGCTCACAGCAACCTCAAACCCTTAGGCTCAAGTGATCCTCATACCTAAGCCTCTCAAGTAGTTGGGACTATAGACACCCGTATGAGATCCAGCTAGTTTTTCTATTTCTAGTAGAGATGGGGTCTCACTGTTCCTCAGGCTCATCAACTCCTAAGCTTAAGTGATCCATCTGCCTTGGCCTCCCAGAGTGCTAGCATTACAGGCGTGAGCTGTTGCCCCTGGCCATACCCGCCCTTGTGTTTTTGGGACCTGCCCTCTTCTCTTCCACTGGCAGTGCTGCAGATAGCACCTGCTCTCACCTGGTCAGTCTCTCCTGCTTCCCCTTCATTGCTAACATCTGCCTTCCTAGGCCACAGACTGAGTGGCACCTGGCTCTGAAGGCGCCTTTGGAAAAAGTACTAGTTTCTCCTTCCTGGTACCTCAGCCTCATTGGCTTCCTCCCCTGCCAGCTCATCTGCCCAGGGCACCTGCGTACCTCTGTTTCCTGGCTCCCTCCCTTTCGCTGGCACTTTTATGTATATCAAGTCCTAGCTGGGGAACAAGTGTTCTAAGTGTCCTACCCTGACTGCTGCTGCCCAGGTAGGTGACCCTGCCTCCAGGGGGCTCCCATGCCCACTCTCACAAGTCCCAGGACCTGCTGCTTACTTGTGGGTCTCCTCATAGCTGTGAGCGGCCCACTCTCTGTGTCCTGAGCTCTAGGGTCGCACAGTACTGAGGGTTAGTAAATATATGGTTAAGCGTATGCTGAGTGAGTGGCTCTGCCTTGCCCCAGGTGCTGTCCTCTCCTGAGGGTAAGCAGCCCTTGGGGCCGAGGGCACTCACCCATTTTGAGAAAGGGATGCCGTCTGATGGAGAGAAAGAGGGCTCACTGCCACTTGGCCGTGTGCATATTAGCATTGAATTCTCTGAGCTTTAATTTTCTTCCTTCCTTTATTTATTTATTTATTCATTCATTTATTTATTTTTAAAATGATAGCAACCTCAAACTGTTGCAGTTGACATTGTTGATTAGCTGGCCCAGGCCAAGTTTGAACCCACAACCCTCAGTTTATGTGGTTGGTGCCATTACCCACTGTGCTACTGATGCCCAGCCAATTTTCTTATTTTTTAAATTGGGGTTTTACTACCAGTAAAGGTAGAATTGCGATGATAACATGAGGTTGTGAGTCTTTGATATATACAGAAGTATTCGGCAGTCCTTCCTCCATTTTTGTCTTTCCTTTCCGGAGCATATCACCTCCTTTCCTGTCCCTGGGCATTGCTCGTGCCCTGAAAAGTTCACTGGAGCCTCCTTCCCTCCCCCACTAACTTCCACCCTCTCTGAGGCAGGAGGAGCTGGAGCATCTGAACCAAGCCAGCGAGGAAATCAACCAGGTGGAGTTGCAGCTGGACGTGAGTAGCCTCCTGCTCCTCAAGCCCTGGGACTGGTCCCTGGGGGTGTCTCGGGCTGTCTCTTTCTCAAATTGAGACAGTGGCAGAGGGAAGAGCATGGCTGAGGAACAAGAGAGGCTGGGACCCACACGCATGCCTTTTCTCTGCCCTGTCCCTTTGCCAGGAGGCCAGGACCACCTATCGGAGGATCCTGCAGGAGTCAGCAAGGAAGCTCAACACGCAGGGCTCCCATTTGGGGAGCTGCATTGAGAAAGCCCGTCCCTACTATGAGGCTCGGCGCCTAGCCAAGGAGGTAAAGCTGCTGACTTGTATTCCAGGAGGGCTGCAGCAGACCCTAACCCTGGACTCTTCTGTCTGTAAGGAATGTATGGACTGGTAGACAAAGCACCAGACCTAAGCACAGAGCACTGAGCCAGACCTGGCTGGTCTGAGCCAGCTCTGTGAGCTGAGAAGGCTCTTCTATCACTACAGGTCCTAGGCTTATGGTCTGTAAAATGGTGAGGGGTAAGAGACATGCTCCAGAACACTTACTTTAGCCCTGCTGATGTTTGAGTGTCTTCTGTATGTTAAGGAGTCAAGCTTCAGGGCATATTAGATATGTCAGCTCTAGTATCATACTGTTTTGATAGCTTCCCATTTCCTCTTTCTCTTACTTTTCTTTTCTTTTATTCACTCTCCTCTTGTTTGCATCTTGTCTTCGTTAATTGCTGCCCTCCCAGCCATTTTTTTGACACAAGTAATGTGTCTTAACCTTGGAAGACTATAATAAAAACATGGAGCAAACCAAGCTTGCCCACAATCCTATCATGTACCTGTTATATGCTTTTTGTGCCTGGGATTTGTTTGAATGCAGTATAGTAAGGTAATACACTTGGGGACAGCTACCCTGGGAAGAAGAGTTATTCCTAAGAGGAGGGGACCTGGCATTCTAAGCAGGGGAGCAACAAGGATCAGGCAACAGAAGCAGTGAGGAGAGCATATTCCAGAGCCCTCATCTTTGTGGGAAGAAATGGTGAGGCAGAGCAGGCAAGCTTAAATAGGTTGAGGGTTGGGTAGTTTGAATAATTTGGCAGGCTCTGGTCTACAGGAGTAGTCTTTTGTTGTCTAGTCACCTGGCCCTAGGGTGATTTAGGGCACGGAAATTACTGGCTCAGTGAATGAATTAGATGATGGAGGCCATGGGCAAGGCCTTCCAAATGTCAAAGCATCAAAATATAGAAAATAAAAACTTTTATTAATTAAAAATTTTCATTAATACAGCACAGATAACTTTTTTTTTAAAAGAAACATTTTGGCATATATTTTTCCAAAATGGAATTTACAGTAAGTGTTATTTTTGTTCTTTTGTTTTACTTGGTTATGATATAGTTCCATATCAATCAATATACATCCATGCTGTCAGTTTTAAGGATGATAAATATTTCCTTATGTTAGATGGACTGTTACTCATTTTACCAATGCCCTGTAGCTGAAAAGGTAGATTTGTTTCCAGATTTTTCTTTCTTTATTTTTTTTTTTGAGACAGGGTCTCAGTCACCCTGGGGTTGGGTGCTGTGGTGTCATACCTCACAGCAACCTCAAACTTTCAAGCTCAGGTGATCTTCTTACCTCAGCTCAGTAGCTGGGACTACAGGTGCCTGCTCACAACACCTAGCTAGTTTTCCTATTTTTAGTAGAGATGGTGTCTCATTTGCTCAGGCTGGTCTTGAATTCCTGAGCTCAGGCTATCTACCTGCCTCAGCCTCCCAGGGTGTGTGATTATAGGAATGAGCCACTGTGCTTGGCCCAGATTTTTCTCAATTAATTGGCTATGAGGAATATCTCTGAACACATCTGACTATGTCCTTCACCTTAACCTGCTAGATGGGGAATTGCTGGTCTCAGGGTCATATTTTCTATGAGACCGCATTCATCCATGTCACCAAAAGCTGAACTAAAGTGGTTTGCCTTTTCCTATATTCTCCTCAGGGTAAAAGGCCAGCAGCTTTTGAGGGTGCTGAATTCACCACCCTCCACTTGCAGTATCATTTATTCAAATATTTGTTTGAACATTGACTTTTCTTCCACATCTTTATGAATTATTATTTATAAAATATTGCTTCCTTGGCATTTATCCTTAGCACAGTTTGGAGATGAAGCTGATATTGCCCGTAGCTTTCTCCTTTGTCCTTATACTCTTGATGGGTCCCCATGGGCAATTTGGGGTCCTACAGGGTTGCCTACCCTTATGGCCCTCTTCTCCAGGCTCAGCAGGAGACACAGAAGGCAGCGCTGCGGTATGAGCGGGCCGTGAGCATGCACAATGCTGCCCGGGAGATGGTGTTTGTGGCTGAGCAGGGAGTCATGGCTGACAAGAACCGACTGGATCCCACATGGCAGGAGATGCTCAATCATGCCACCTGCAAGGTGAGCTGGGCGGTGCTGGCAGGTCCCCTTTGCTGGTTCCTAAACATGTTTACTCTTCCTTCATTGCCTTATCTCCTCACTACTTCCTTTCCTCTGCTCCAGCCTTCCTTCATCTTGGCTTCTGTTTCAGGCAAAACCTATTCTAGCTTTCTGCCTGTTTGGCCTCCTGATTTTCGCATTGCCTTTCCCTCTGACTTAGAATGTCATTCTGGGCCTTTTACAAGCTTTTATCTCAGCTGTGAGACTAACCCAAACAGTTCATCACTGGTGGGTACTCTGGATTCAGCATTCACATTTCATTATAAATATTTTGTTGTGTGACTCCTGTTTTCAGAATGTTTTTCCTTTCTTGCTTTTGAGCTCTGCTAATCTACCTTTATTTTGAAATATAATTTATGTATCTTTCCAAGCTTCTTAGAGGGGCCTGGGGAGTAGGAGGATCTCTGGCATGGGCTCAATCTGCCATTTTCAGCTTAAACAGGGCAAGCATCAGCTCCTGGTGGGGGGTGGGGGGGCAGTGGTATCTTGCGACCTTTTGTGTAAACTTGCACAGATAGGTTCTTTACTTCTACTTTGGAGCTCACATAGGTGAAAACATGTGTGCCGGAGTAGAGAGCCCTCCAGCACCTCTTCCTGGCAACAGCACAGCTGAGTGGCAGGTAGTATACTCATTTCCCTGGTAAGTGCCCAGGGAAGATAGGGCTACTCAGGCATTTGCCTCAAATGCAGTCCTTAAAGGCCAAGAGGCCAGGCAGCAGGTCCCAGAGTGAGGGAAAGGAGCTGTCTTGGGGCTCTCTGCCACTGTTCCCCTGAGCATCTGGGCTGCAGGTGGGGGGGCCTGCAGAGATGCCTTGCTGAGGCTCTGTCAGGGCAGCTCAGATCGGCAGCCTGGGGAGATGTGGGACTGAGGCATGGGCCCCCCTCAACATTGTGTCTCCCTTGGCCAGGTGAATGAGGCAGAAGAAGAGCGGCTTCGAGGAGAGCGGGAACATCAGCGGGTAACACGGCTGTGCCAGCAGGCTGAGGCCCGTGTCCAAGCCCTGCAGAAGACCCTTCGGCGTGCCATCGGCAAGAGCCGCCCCTACTTTGAGCTCAAGGCCCAGTTCAGCCAGATCTTGGAGGTAGATAAGTGGGAGGGGAAGAAGAATGGGCAGGTGAGGTGTAGGAAAGAGGCACATGTGGAAAGGGGGCAAGCAGAGGGGTGCTGGTCTGCCTGTCTGAGCCATGCTGGCAGGTAGGCAAGATGAGGCCTCCAGCAGACCAGCCAGTGGATGGGGCTACACGTGTCTAGAATTACCCTGCAGGAATGGGAGGCAGGCTGGGGGCTGTTGCTGGCAAAGGACATAGCTGAAGAAAGGAGGTAAACAAAAAGAAAAGTGAGAATTGGTGGAAACTAAGGGACTGGGGAGAAGCAGCAGCCAGATGGTGAGGGGTACTGGAGAGTAGAGAGAGCAGCTGGTGCAGATGGAGTCTGGCTCTGAAAGGTGGTTAGATGCAGGGCAGGACTGTGGAGGAAGGACAACCAGGGGACAGTGACAGGGTTTGGGAAGGCCTAGAGCTCATTGCAGAGTGTGAGTAGGCAGGGAGACCCTGTGGGCCACCGTGGCTTGTTTGCCCTCTGCAGGAGCACAAGGCCAAGGTGACGGAACTGGAGCAGCAGGTAGCCCAGGCCAAGACCCGCTACTCAGTGGCCCTACGCAACCTGGAGCAGATCAGCGAGCAGATCCACGCCCGGCGCCGTGGCCTGCCTCCCCACCCCCCAGGCCCACGGCGCTCTTCCCCCGTGGGGGCTGAAGCAGGACCTGATGACATAGAGGATGGGGACAGCGGTATCGAAGGGGCCGAGGGCGGGGGCCTGGAAGAGGGAGGCAGCCTGGGGCCCAGCCTTGCCCCTGATGCGGACACACTGAGCCTGCTGAGCCTGCGCACTGTGGCCTCTGACCTGCAGAAATGCGACTCGGTGGAGCACCTGCGGGGCCTGTCAGATCACGCCAGTCTGGATGGCCGGGAGCTAGGGCCCCCAAGCAGTGGGCGCCGTGGCAGTGATGGCGTGGTCCGTGGGGGCCGCCACCAGCGGAGCGTCAGCCTGTAGCCTGGCAGCCATGGTGGCTGTATTGACCGACTATTCAGCATGGGCCAGCTGGGGCCCCAGCTTCTCTCCCCTCCCTGGGGTCCTGTCTTCCCTGAGGTTTCTTCTCTAATGCTTCCCTGGAAGAAGCTAGCTGTGTTGGGGCCCAGGGCTGGTTTGGCTTTCCATTGGCCTGCCTCCCCTGTCCTGCACAGGGCAGCTGTCTCCACCTGCCCCTCTTGCTCTTGGCGCTCCTCTCCCTCTGTGGCCTCACGGTCTACAGAGTGTGGACCCTTTGCTTTCCCCTTCATCTGAGCCCACCTCCATCTATCTGGCTTTTCCCCTCAGGGAACTTGATGTAGCAGGCCCAGGGAAGCCCCCAAGAGAACATGGGTGCTACCCTGAGTGCCCTGCCCATGTGGATGCACAGGTACCCCCCTGCTGGCTCCTCCCTTGCCTGGCCTCCACCCTGTTGGAGTTGACCAGCAGGCACTGTGAGCACTTGTGTGCCTCTGGAAGACACTGCCTCCCTCCCACAGTAGCTGTGACCCGAGCTATTCTGCCGTGCGTGTCCCAAAGCAGAATTTGCAGAATGTGGCTGTCAGAGAAGCCCAGCTGTGCATCAACATTGGGGAGATCACCAACTCAAAACCAGCTCCTGTGGGCTTGATGTTTCCCCAGCTGGGCTGGGTCCTTGACATTGCCTGGGTGCTACCAGGTCCCTAGCGGGGTCCTTGTTGGGAGTGAAGATATGAGGAGGTCCTGGAGGCCTAGGCCCTGTCACTCCCACCTCATGCCCTTGTTTCTGTTTACTTTTTCTGGGTGGAGGGTACTAAGGTGAATCTCAGCACCTCCTGCAGGGTCGGGTTAGGGAATTTGGTGCTCTATTGCTCTCCCTGCTTTTCCCATACCACACAATGCCTACTCTAGAGGACACCCTGTGGAGTGGCAAGCCTGGCTGCCTCTGGTGCAGGAAGGGATTGGCTGGGGTGAGGGGTCCTGACCCCCACAGGGATCTGTCCCTCAGCCTGGCAGTGCCCCTAGGCTATGTGTAGGGAGACCGCACCAGGTCTGGGTGCCTTGGAAGGGTGGGTTCTTCCCTGGGAGAGCAGAGAGGTCAGAGGAGCTCACTGCTGCACTCACAGGTTCTGCTGGCACAAGGGGTGGTCACAATGAAAGCCTCATGGTTTGAGGTGGCCACAGAGAACAGATGGGAGGGAGGGAGACATGGGTGTGTGTGTGCATGTGCTGGTGTGTGTGGGGAAAGGGCCTGCCCTGGTTTTATTTAAATAAAATAGTTTATGTAACAGCAACAGTCACTGTCCCTGTTGGGGGGGAGAAGAGAAGACTCAGGATCAGGCAGTGGCCAGGGTAGGGGAGAGCAGGGTGAGCTGTGGTGGCCGAGGGAGTGAGGTAGAGGGCCAGTCAAGCAAGGCAGATGCTGTGAGGCCATGATTAGTAAGCACCACAGGGCAGATTAGACCTGGCCATTCTGTGAGGGACAGGTGTCACAGTGGGCTTGATACAGGGCCTGCAAGGTGGCATGGGTGTGGTTGGAGCTGAGGGTGTCCACTGATATTTAAATTTCAGGTAGACAATGACTTTTGTCCCCTGCAGTTGTCTGTTGTGTTTCTAAAATTGTAGGTAAAAGGCAACTGCTAAGTCAGGGCTTAAGTGTTTGGGAGATAAGAGGGGTGTGAGTACTTTTGGACTCAGGTGGGATGTGGGGGAGGAGTAAATTCAGGAGCCTCAGAGATGAAGAGCAAAAGATTGTCTTGAGCAACACTTGGGGTGTGCTGGTATTCAGAGCTGTGTTACGAGGGGTCAACCAGGGGAAGAGATGCCACCAGAGTAGAGGGCTGGAAACAGATGCCAAGAAGGGGCAGCGTAAAGGCCAAGAATGGAAGGATACAAGTGAGCAGTGACTTTGGCAGCCTGGCACATGAGAGAGGCCATCTGGTGTGTGCAGTGTGTGACCTGAACACTCAGTATGTGCCTTTCCACCGGTGCTGTCCGCATCCCTCAGACTGCCCTGACCTGGTAGACAGTTGCTCAGACAGTTCTTTTATTACCAGAAAGCTGCTCTGAGAATGTATGGCTTGTATTTGGGGGTTTTAATAACATTTAAGAAAAATGCATATATTTAAGGTGAACAAAATGATGTTTTGATATACATATTGAAATAGTATTATAGTCAGGAAATTAGCTTATCTGTTATTTTGCATAGTTATCTCCCCCCTTTTTTTGTAGTAAGAGCACTCAAAATCTACTCTTAGCAATTTCCAGTATATAGTATTATAATTACTATAACATAGTATCTGGCTCAGCGCCCATAGCTCAGTGGTTAGGGTACCAACCACGTGCAGAGAAGCTGGTGGGTTTGAACCCAGCTTGGGCCTGCTAAACAATGACAACTACAACAAAAATATAGCCGGGCATTGTGGTGGGCGCCTATAGTCCCAGCTACTTGGGAGGCTCAGGCAAGAGAATCGCTTAAATCCAAGAGTTTGAGTTTGCTGTGAACTGTGATACCATGGCACTCTAACCGAGGGCACCGAGGGCAACATAGTAAGACTATGTCTCAAAAAAAAAAAAAGTATGGTGAGTGGCTTCCTGAGATGATACCATGGTGTTGACCTTCCCCACCCAGTCCCAGGCAGATGGGACCTATAAGGCTCCCAGTGTGGAGAACCTCCTGAGAGGAAGGGCTGGATTGTGCACACATTTTCTCACAAAGTCTGGCCAGAGAAGGTGGGGTAGGAGAGGGACCCTGAGGGTAAGAGCTGATGGCACTTCAAGTGGAGAACTGATACCTAGCAGACCAGCCCTGTACTCAGCCTGTGTGCCTCTCACACTGGGGACACACACCCATTAAGTCTTTGCAACATTACAGGACAGGCCATACTGCGATTCCCTGTCCACTGATGAGAAAATGAAGCACAGTGAGGGTACATGCTGGCCCCAGCTTCTCACAGGAGGTAGTGGAGGAAGCTTCCTCCAGGTACCTGGAGTCTAAGCTCTTGGAACAGAGGTAGGACGGTAGAGGAGTGGATATATTCACCTGGGAAGTTTTGCTGGGAAGGAATACTGAAATACAAGGATTTCAACTCCATTGTCCAGCAAAGAGAATCTCAAGGATTTTTATTTTTTTGTTTTTGGTGTGGGGAACAGAATCTCACTATGTTACCCTTGGTAGAGTGTTGTGGCAAAGAGTTTAAGCCCTCAAACTCTTGGGCTTAAGCCGTTCTACCTAAGCCTCCCAAGCAGTTGGAACCGTAGGCACTGGCGACAACGTCTGGCTATTTTTTGTTGCAGTTGTCCTTTAGCTGGCCCTGGCTGCTATGGAACCCACCATCCTCAGGGTATGTGGCTGGCGCTGTAACCACTGTGCTACAGGTGCCAAGCCCTCAAGGGTTTTTTTAATTTGAGGTGAGTAGGAGATGGTCAGGTGTGAGGGAGGTGGAGCCTCCCCTGTTCCTATACCATGACATGTCACATGCCATATTGGTTAAGAGTTCTGATCTGTACCAGGTGAGGGGCGGGCCTCAGTGTCCCAAACACCTGACACATCCTGTGAACCCAGTTCAGTAAAGTGCTTTTGCTTTTTGCCGCTACACTGGGGAGCTCTGCGGGTGCAGCCATTAGGAGGTCAGGATTTGGTGATGCAGGGTCACATCTCCACATCTCTTGGGGAGGGGTGTGGGGGTGTGTGTGTGCTTGGATTTATCTCCTATAATATGGGACAGTGTAGGTGTGCATGCATGATGCTGTACTAGTGGCTCCTTGTCACAATGATTTTTTTATTTAATTTCAGATTAATATGAGGCTACAAATGATTAGGTTACACACTTTGCGTTGGTTAAAGTCCCAGTTGTAGTTAAGTCCTTCGCCCAGAAGGTGTGCTACCCGCCCCCCCCAACTGTTGTGCCCCTAGGTGGGAACTTACTGAACCCCCTGTTCTCTGCCCCCCCCACACACACACACACAAACTTGAATTTAAGTGTGAGTCATAATTCTTGGTAGTGCTTGACCTGAGGCGGCCTCATCCTTTCTACTGCAGGACAAGGAAAAATTTTGAAAGGATTGTGTTTCCCTCCTCGTCGGGATGCGATTTTGGCCAGCCTAAAGTCAACCGTCCTTTTACAAAATTTCAGTCTTTGGATTTTTGGTGGACATGTTGTAATCATATATATATTACGAGTGGGCAATCAGCCCACCTCCTGCAGACGCTGCAGCGAGATGGCTTGGGAGATGGCCTCGTGCAGGGTCGCGTGCTTACGGTAGAGGGCAGCAGCCTCCAGGCAGTACCGGCCTCCGCGTTGCGTCCCTGCGCCCGCTCCAGGGCGTCTGCAGCCTGAGACGCTGCCCGTGAAGGATGCGGGCACGAATCTGCCAGAACCAAGCTACTCCGGTCCCCTTGCAGGCTTCTGGCCTCCTCGGCTGTGTGCGTGAAAGCTGGCCCTAGTGTTCAGGGTTGCTGGTCCTTGGGCTGAGTTCTCTGTGCCTGCTGCTGCACCTTGTTCTTGTAGCTGACTTCCCTGCTAGGTCTCTTCTTCCCGCTGGCCGCAGCCTCCTCCGTGTCCCTACCCAGCCCTCCGTTCAAGGGAACCACGGGACCATTTCACTGGCTGGCGAACGAAATTTTTGGCTAGTGAACTGGCCCGTGAATTTTCTTAGGTTATGAAGAAATATCCGTGAGGATCTTTACGCATATAAAACAGTGGTAGAGCTTGTTAGGGATGCCACAAATGAAAATGCTTACCGGGTAAGGAACGCAGGTGTGCACAGGAAACAGCGCAGGGTAGTCAGAAATAGATGACTAAAGCAGGCTGCAGTCGGACGAACAGCAGACTTGGTCTCAGACTTCAGAGAGAATGCCCAAAGTCTTTCTCCCCTTGTCCTGTGATTCTCAGGCTCCCAGTCTTCTCACTCTTCTTCCAAAATCAGTCCTGAATTTTTTCAGTCAGGGCCTCATCTGGCTCACTTCAGTGTTCTTAAGGCCTGGGATGTGGCACTTTACATCACACATCTGTCCCCTGACGTCTGCTTGCACTTCCATTGGTACAAGTTTTTTCCTTTTTCAGTCTGTTGAACTTGTCTGTGGTTTGAGGCTCAGCACATGTGTCTTTTTGGGAGGAGGGTGGGGGTGACAGTCTCATTCTTTTGCCCCGGCTAAAGTACCATGTGAGTCTCATCCTGTTGCCCTGACTAGGGTACCATGTGGCCATCATAGCTCACTGCAACTTCACTCTCTGAGCTCAAGCCATCCTCCTGCCTCAGCCTCAGTAGCTGGGATCACGAGATGCCACCACAATGACCAGCCAATTTTTCTATTTTTAGTAGAGACAGGGTCTCTTCTCAATCCTGCACAGGCTGGTCTCGAACTTCTGAACTCAGGCAGTCTCCTGCTTTGGCCTCTCAGAGTGCTAGGATTACAGGTGTATCTGTGCCCAGGTTCATGTGGACTTTGACCAAAGGTCTACCTGGTTCTTTAGCTCTCTATCCCTTTCTGAACTAATCCCCATCATCCCAAAGTTCCTTATGGCTCTTTTTGCTTATTGAAGAACTGTCACAATATTCTAGACATATGTCTTCTGCTGGTCCTAAGACCCCAGAAGAATGGCTGTTTGTCATCACAGTAGACATGTGTACAGGAACCGTTCATGTTAAGTGGTCCAAATCAGCACAGTTGGCTTACTCATACATAGCTGGGAGGAGGGGCACCCATGTCGGAGTGAGTTTCTTCCCCATTTAGAAAGGAGTAATGTTCTGGTCCTAGGATGGGAGTGGAGGAGCAGGTCTGTGGTTCAGAAGAGCAGGTAAACACCTCCTTCCTCACCTGTTGCTTGGTGTTGCCTGCTGCTTCTAAGCTGCCTTGTCTTCTTCCCTTTCTCCTGTGACTTCTGCAGTAACAGAAAGCAGAGTTTTCTCCCCACCAAGGGGTTTCAGTCATGCCAGAATTCAGAGGAATGTTGAAGCAGTGGAGGCTGGAGGAGGCTTGTGGAGCCCTCTCAGGGACTCCTGCTGTTCAGGGGAGAAAGATGCCATCACTTTATGTCACCTTCCCCTCCTTCTAACCTCAGTGTTTCAACTGTCATTTCCGCCTCCCATTAACTTTGGAGAAAATGACCCGGAAGCTACCTGCTCTCGTACCCAAGAGTGGGGATATGGCAGTTTCTGTTCTCACATCTGGTCTCTCATCATCTGACCTTTGTTCCTTTAGCTGATCATCTATTTCACTTGACAGGATTTCAGAAGCCTCTGATCAAAAACCTCTCCCTCTTCTCAAACTGCTGCACTTAA